CCCCCCCCCCCCCCCCCCCCCCCCCCCCCCCCCCCCGGTTCCGTTCTGCGGGTACTGTCCATTTGCAAGGCGGCATCGCTGACATGACGGTTCCCAATCATCAGAAAAAAGTTTCAGCAGCTATTGACTAAATCAGAGAAGCTTTTATATGGAATTAACGCAAAGCAGAACCACAGACCACACAGTACAATTAACACTAGTACCACCTGGCCTAGGTGGAATGTTTCCCATGTCGGAATTATAATGGTATAATTACTTGGCATTTAGGTGAAAGTCTCTGGCTACAGAGGGAGTGGTACCAAGCCAGGAGCCGCTCCACATCCTATTAGCTGTGCTGATGAAATGCTCTGCTAACAGTGAAAAACTAGCTATGAGCCCTCAGTTACCGTATAAATAAGTGCTGTACTAAACCGCTGATTCTACGCAGGACATGCTGAGTTTCTTATGAGTTTTGCTTTCTTGATATTTGATTTAAATTGGAATAACTGAACACTTATCTGAAACCGATGGTACGCTCATTAGCAGACCAGCTAGCCGGACATCATTAGCACTGACGGCTTCTCGGGTTGCCAGAAAACAGGAATTGAATGAGCTTGCTTTGTGCCATGGGTGAAGGGACAGAGGCTTAATTATGATCCGGTCCAAATCCAGCCCAATTCCTTCATTTGTGAAGAAGACTTAAAATCTGCGATCACACAAATATTATGTACAATTGTGTTTAATCACATCTTCCGGCAGTGCTGTAGGTTAATGTGTTTATTTAGTTGATGTAGTTGATGTTTTGCCTCTTGGAACTGTAGCTGTGGCCATATTTGTTGTTTCGCTTAGCAGAGACATTTATAACTTTTACAAATTGATGCAATTATGGCGGACAACTATGGTAAGATCAGCGTACTCCCGAATTTCCTACTGGGAAAACTTCATTTAAGTGAATTAGATACCATTAGATACCAGAAATACTGTCAGCAAAGTTTGCTAAGGATGATGAGTTATGAAGCAGCAGTGAAGTATTCTGTCATGGATAAAAAACTCTGTTTGTTGAGACCATTGTAAATGACCAGAAGCACTTCAAGTGCAATAACGCAGTCTTGATGCCTTAGGCGTGTGTGTTTTTATTGGTCTTATGCTGCCTGAAAGTAGGATTGGGAGACTTCTGTTATTCCAAAAGACACAGTGCCATCACCTCAAATTGCTGGTCTGCCTCGCAGACCTGAAAGTAGAGGATTTTCTAATGCTGGTTACTTCATTTTTCTGTAGACATAGAGACATATAGGTTTTAATTTGCAAATGAGTAGTTCAAGGTCAGCAAAATGCAAATTTTGCATTTACTTTGAAACATTAACTTTTTACCACAGGGAATTGTGGCCATTTGTGTGTTTTACGAATGCAGAGATTGTGACTTCTAGGATGTCTTATATTTGAAAATAGATTGAAAAGCTGACTATTAAAAGAAAAAGGAGAAATGGCCCATTACCTACAATACACTGATTTCATGTTTACCTTCTTCAGTTTAGAATTTTCAGGAAATACCAGTACAAACAACATTCTTTTTTTAGATAATTAAACTATTAATTGAACCAATAAAGTCATAATGGCGGGAAAGAATAATAACATTTTGGCATAAGCTCAGTATGACTACCTTGCCTTGGAACCTTGAGAAAAGAGTCTATCATTTGTAAGCAGGTGAGTGGAGATTTCATGTCAGAGGGAACTGGGTGGGAGTGGCACAGTGGTGCAGTGGTTAATGCTGCTGTCTCCCAGTAAGAAGGTCCTGGGTTTGGTCCCTGGGTCAGGCGTTGGGCCTTTCTGTGTGGAGTTTGCACGCTCTCCCCGTGTTCATGTGGGTTTTTACCAGGGGCTCCAGTTTCCTCCCACAGTCCAAAAGCATACAGGATAGGTTGATTGGTGACTCTAAGCTGGTGCAGTGTGTTGGTTCCTGCCTGCACCCATTGTTCCTGGGATAGGTTCCAGTCCCCCCTGGAACCCCAGTTGGGATTCAAGAGTTACAGAGATGGATAGGAACAGGATAACCTTTTCTTATGAAGCACTAATCAGCAGTTAGTAACTTCCTGCAAAATGATACATAAATCATTTCTGTTTAAACCAGTCTGCCAAAAAAGATGTTGTATTTAGTGACTTAGATTTAACCAATTTGACCAAGAAAATGGCAGCAATATTTGAGTTACTTGGCAATATTCATGTGCATGAATATTATGAACAGTAGTAGAAGCTGCAGTTCTAGTAATAGTAGTGATAACATTGGGGGTGATTGGATTGCCAGGGCTGGCTCTGTCTGTGGGGAGTTCAGTTTCCAACTTTATTGATCCTTGGGGGGAAATAGTTTTCACATACCCCATCTTGCCCTCCAAGACACACAGACGCAAATAGGTGAGAGCGAGCTTGGCAGTGAAGGGCAGCCACCTGCAGCACTGCCCAAGGAGCTGGGGGTTAAGGGCCTTGATCTAGGGCCCACAGACATGCCAAGTCCAGGCTTGAAGCAGTGATCTTCGGATTACAGGCACAGAGGCTTAGCCCACTGAGCCACACGCTGTATTTATAAACACTAATGTTGGCTGTCGGCCATGTGGTCATGAACGTTGCTGTCTTCACATTTAGTTGCCTCTATGGATCTTCTTCATTTTCTTCTGTAAGTATGGTTCCATCAGCATATCAAAGGTTATTGATGTTTCTTCCACCAATGTCCACACTTGACTTCTTTGATTATATGTGTCCTGGTATAATCCTTTTACTATAGTTTCTCCATATTTCATTCTGAGTTCAGCTCCTTGTCCAGTGTACAGATGCT